CCCCAAAACCCCAAAACCCCAAAACCCCAAAACCCCAAAACCCCTTCAAAGCTAAAGTTGATTGAACCGCCATATGATTAGTACCTTCTTCTTTGGTCTCTGTTATATCCACCACTACGGTCTCTATCATAGCCTCCATTACGATCTCTGTCATAACCTCCATTGCGGTCTCTTCTTCTATCATCGTAGTTGTCTCTTCCGCCTCTTCCGCCACCTCTTCCTCTGCCTCCGAAGCCGACACCGCCTCTTCCTCTTCTATTGAAGCCTCCTCTGCTGCCTGGAGGAGGTTGGCCGTTGACATATCCATGCTCCTTTTCCCATGCAATCCTTCTTCTTTCCTTCTCTTGCCTAATTGCTTCGAAGTCAGGAGCTTCTACTGGGACTCCAATCGAACCCTTGTTGAGTTCAAGGATCGAGCTAGCATATTTTGCAATAGTGATCGTGCTATCTTCAGGCATATTTGCACCTGTACCAGCCTTGGCTGAGGAGTAGTTTCTAATTAGTTTAGAAGGATCAAAATCCTCATTCTCTTCGTAATCTCTCTTTCTTCTTCTGGCACCTGGAGATGGGGTCCTTTCTCTTCTTCCCTCTCTTTCCTTCTTGGCTCTGTATTCATTAAATTTCTCTTTAAGCTCTGCAAGGCAATTTCTGACCTTGGCATATCCCATATGCTGTTTTCCTTCAAGATGGGTGGTGAGTCTCTTGTCAGTATCTGTGGCACTCTGCATGGCTCCACACACCTCACAAACGGTCATTTGTTTCTTTGAGACATTCATTTCTAGCTGAGTTTCCAGCTCTGCTTTCTTGGCTTTCATGTCCTCAATCTCTTTGAAGAGAGCTTCAGATTCGTCAATCAAGCCATCCTCTCCTTTTCTCTCTGCATCTTCGAGGAAGAAGTTGATTTTCTCATTAAGACTAGCGATCTGATCGATCAGGTTGTTCCTGACTTCATTGGGCTGCCCAATACGCTCGTTAAGCTTTTGGTATGTCTCTGGGATAGGAGCGTCTAATCTGCTAAGAGACTTCCTGATCTTCTCGTCTACTTTGAAAATGATTCTTTCGAGTCAATCAACAAGCTCTCTTTCGTATTTTCTCTCGTAGTACTCCATGTTTGGGTCATTCTTGAACATCTCTTTGAAAAATTTATCATGTCGTTTCTGGCACCTTCCCAAGTCAGCTTTGGTATTGGGGAACAAATCATGAGGACAGAAAGCAACCAAGTGATACTTGCCTATATGTTATTTTAGAATTGGAAATTACTTGGATCTCAATCTAGATTTGATCCGCAAATGAAAATAAATTAGGGCACTATTGGGATGACTTACACACATCATTGTCATCGAAATGATCTCTCTTCTTAACTCTGATGTGCAAAGGATTGTTCCTATCTTTGCCCATCAGATTGTCTAGATCTTCAGCAAGACTCTCCATTTACAATTAAATTATAGAATTAAGTTCAAAATTCTAATTATTAGCAGGGGTTTTGGGGTTTTGGGGTTTTGGGGTTTTGGGG